AAGAGTCTGATAATAATGTCAGTCAAAGATATTGGATGCAGTTGATTGATAGTCTGAAGTGGAGATTCTTTAGGTATAGGAGTTATGCTAGCAACTTTCCATGTCAGTGGGACTGATTGAGCTTCAATAGATAGGTTGAATAAGTGAGTAATAACTGGAGCCAGTTCTAGTAAAATTCTTTCCAGAACCAGTACTGAATACAATCTGGACCTGAGGCTGTTTTTTAACACTTGATAGGAACTTGAATGTGGTAGATTCATCAACAGGCATTCTTGTATGTTCCGTAATTTCCAATAAAATAGGAGTTTTATATTTAGTATCTGTGTTAATTCCTTGAAAAAAAGTATTTATATCTTCCAGACAGAAGATTGAACTAAGTGGGACATATCCTTTGCCTCTCTACCAGTGGTAGTGTTTACTGTCTTCCRCCACTGCTTATTAGTGGATCCATGCTTCTCATTTTTGCTTTTGACGGAGTTGATCTAATCTGATTTTCAATTATGATTTCACTTATCCTTGGCAGAGGTGAGTTTGCTTCAACAATCMTACCTTTCTGGGAAAAACCTTTGTCTTTTCTTTGACAGATACTTTACAAGAGGTGTAATAAATACAGGATCATTCGATGACATCTTAACCCTTTTCATGGGGAAACAGATTTCAATCGCAGGGCATACTACAGAATAAAAATGAGAAACTGCATTGTCTAAGTCTCTTCCAAATAGCTCACTCCTCCAGTCAATTCCTTTCAGGAACTCAATCATTGCTAGTTTGCAGTGTGGTCGAGTATCCCGAAATTCAACCCATTTTCTTGTGGCTTTGGTCTTTTTTTTGGGATGAACCACCACACACTTGTGATCAGTGTTAATCRATCAGGCTATGCATCTTACAGATCCAAAGTCTAGTGGTGCATTAGTTAGGAAAACTTCCAGAATTATGCTGCCACTAGTTGGTTTCTTGACGAGTTGAGAACCACCTCCAATTCTTTCTTTTCTGTCTTTAGTTATAACATTAAAACCACGTGGAGAGACCAGGTTCTTGTCAAAACGGTCATGTAGCCACGTCTCGGACATAAAACAAAGATCTATTTGGTGACTGGATAGATCTCCTTGAAGAGCTTGAACAGCTCCAGGTTCATTGTCTCCTTCGGTGTCATTGCCTTCAGTTACTATTATTGGCTTTCTTTTCTGGCAGAAAGCCGAAAAGTTTGTTTCGTGTGCCTTTTACGAGGCCTTGAAAGTAAACTACTTCTAGAAAGAGGTAAACTGCTTCTATCTAAGTTCTAATTCCTATAAAGTTCTTATACAAGACACAAGTATCCAGGTATCCAGGACAAGCTTCGACGTATAACAGCTGACAGTAAATAATGAAGGCTCATGATATAGGGAACCGATAATTGGTCCCTTTTTCCGCACATATCATGATAAAGAACATGATATGGACCACTTTTATACCTCTCTGTCACGGAGGAGGAGATGAGGTCGCAAAAGTGAACAGCGGGTTTCCAGCGGTCTACTAGCGTATGCGCTGCGCGGGTAAAAGACACGTACCCAAGATGGCGGTTGTTTACTGTCGATGTTCAGAAACAATCCATATGGGTTTCTAATCTTTTGTTAGGTGAAACATGAAAAATTCCTACAGTTCTCGAATTATTAGAAGCAAGAAATAACGTAACAGCATCGTTTGGTTAAGGTGAGTTCAAATGTGAAGATAATTAAGTCAAGTTCCTTTCATAACAAACTTTCCCCCCTCGATTCTTTTTCCTTTCGTGAGCTTTTATCATACGTACGCTGCTGTACATCAAAAATTCACTGGACAGAAGAATAATTACTGATAGCTGGAAAGAGCATGTTAAACTCAGTGAAACTGTGAAGTCTGACAGAATTAAGTTCGTAAATCGAATGAATTTTCTAAAATCGAAATATAATCTCTATGAAAAGTAGTTTATGGTAATATTTTAAAAATTCATTACGTTTGTTTGTTTATTTTGGTATCTATTTTTTGAGTGCAATCGTTTGTACCAAAGAGGGTAAGATATATATTAATTGACACAAATATGGAGAAAATTGGGAATTTGAATATGGAGAGTAGGAATACTAGTAAAGTAGTGGATCTTATTATAACATAACATATATATAAGGACTTCAAAAACTAATGAATAATTAATGAATTTTTAAACAATTTCGACCATAAACATCATGTGCATGGACCTTTAAACCCTGTAAAGTCCTCTTCATTAGTATTCTTTATATATAAAGAATACTGAGGACAGCTTTATCCGAGATAAAGGTGCATCCAAGTTTAGATGGAGACTTAAAGCCATCAAGGTCAGTCTTACATAAAATAATCGTCAACCCACAAATTGTCGTAGACTAGTGCCCCTGCCTTGAGTTGGGCATGCAGTAAAATGTTTTCAGATAATCATGTTTATGAAATTGTTGTTAATTAAAGTAGCTTTCTGAGCTTTTGTGTATGATGAATTTGAATTGTATATAAAAATATAATATTATTATTATTATATTACACTCAACAAAATTACTCGACTCTGATTGGTCGAGAGGAGTACAATTATAGCGTTAATTGTACTCTGTAGGAGTACCGAATTAAGTCGCTATGGCAACACGGCCAAAACATTTCAAAACAATTATTTTCTATCATTTTGTACTTAAAAAACATATTTATAAATAAAATTTTAAAGCCATAAGAACTAAACATTTTTATGCATTTCAGTTGCACGATGGACTGAAAATCGGCCGCCAAATAGACAAAGATGAACGGCGTCGTTTCGCATTTTTTACTGAAATTTTGTTGAGTGAACTATAAACAAATACAAATACATGCAAGTGCATTTATCAAGGTGCAAATATCAATTGCAATGTAATGAATGTCACAACATTGAAATTTATGTGCACACACAGTGGCATTAGAAAAGTACACTTTTTCCCTCTGGCAATCTTTACCACATTAGATGTCAGTTATGATTGTAAAAATCCAACCACTTGTAAAACAACTTGTCTAAAATCTAGTTTTTCAAGAAGCCACATGCTGTGTTTAAGATATAGAAGATAGAAAGGGTCTACAGACTGTGTAATTGACTAACTGCTGTTGTGGCTCCCAACCATCTCACTGACTTTGCTACCATAAAGGAAATAAAATAGAAAATTTATAAAGTAACCTCAAGGAGCTAGTGGCAACCTCTACCACTTTCTTAAAACAACAGTTGTATRTGGTAACACAACACATGGTTATATAAATCATTTGTCTGTACCGTAGTTAAAACACCCTTTCCACTAAGTACCATTAGGTTGACAAAATTCAAAAGATAGGATTTGCAGAGTGACCATGAAACAATGGCTCCAAGCTGAGGTTAGACATAAGACAAATAAAAGTATGAACATGTCAAGTCCTGTCAAGTCCAACATCAATTGGAACCATTTTTTATGGTCACTGAAGTGTCTATTGCATTTAACTCTAGATTTACTAATTTTGTTTAGTTCAGGTGGCCTATTACATGAGTAATAGACTTGTTTATCACAATTATATGTGAAAGGCATTGCTTGATTTGCAGTTATAAGCAAGTGGAAAGCATGTATATGCCCACCTTATTACTATAAGCTTATGATAAGTTTTGTATTATTTCATTAGGTGCAAAGCAGAAATAAAAAGATGTCATGGTTTACAGACTTGGCTGGGAAAGCAGAGTCTCTTCTTGAGAAGGTTGATAACACAGCAGCAAATGTATTACAAGTGGATGAGAAAATTGACCAATCTGATTCTCAAATAGAGAATTCTAATCAGCCTGATAGTGATGTTGGAATTCATCCCACTGAGTATGGAGCGTCTCGAATCTCAAGAACTACAAGTGAAGGAAGCCTCCTTCGTAAGTATTCTCACCAATTTTAAATTAGTTAGTGTAAATGATCTTGCAAAATGTCTATGCTACTCTGTTTGAGCCACACACGTGAATCAACCAAAAGCTACATGTACACCTGTACATGGTGACAGTAGTCTCATGAAAACTAAAATAAAACTAGGAGGTTCTGTTTTTGTGGTGAAAAACAATGGACCAAGTGAGTTATATATTCTCGTGGACTTACTTCCCAAATGCAGCCCAATTCAGAGGGCAAAACAATAAAATCTTGCTCTCAAGAGAACTGAAATTCATTGTTTTGTCCTCTGAGAACTTTTTGTCCTCAATGAGTTTTGAAATCTTCTGCACATCTAGATTCTGTCACATTACCCCATTCATTACTGGAGATACATTGGATACCAGTTCGCTGTTGTATTGAATTTAAGTTACTTTTGATAATTTTTTAAAGTTGTCAAAATAGACTGACAGTCATATGGAGTGAAGTCATTAAACCCATGCAATTGCCCTATTTCACTATGACATCACTGAAAATTCAACAAGATTTGCCCCTAGYGAAACCGTTTAATCTAAAATGGCCTGGTTTTCAGATATAACATGTGTTAGTATGTACTAAAAAATATTCTGAGCATTATTGCTGGCTATCCTACGGGTTGATTGATACAGGTTTTAGAACAATTTTTGGTGAATTTGCGTTGATTTGACCCCTCCGATGACCATGATCCTTTGCGTTTAAACAATAGATTGTTTTGATGTGACGTCATAGTGAAATAGGGCAAAGATATTAGACTAATTCACTTTGTTTTCTTTTGTGTCTATTTGACTATCACACATTTTTATTTCAGGGGTTAAATGCCTTCACTTTATTAAAATTATTAATTTATATATTTTTTACATCATACCCCTTCAAAAGCTGTGTAAAAATAACCGTAAATAAAATTCACTTCACTTCTTGTCCATCAAAAAAAAATTCATAGCACTTGTTACCTTGGTAACAGCAGAATGCATCAAACCTGAGTAATGTGAAATGTTTTCTCTTTAGTCAATAGGTTTTTGTAAACAGATACAGATACACCAATATGTTTTCTTTTATTTCTAAAAAAGAAATTAAAAAGTGCTTGGTTTATTGGTCCTACTTCAGAGGGCCCTCTGATTGTAATGTTCATATATTGGCTTAACATTTTTACCATCATGTGACTATGCTAAAGTGTTAATATATCCAACATCAGTTTTTGTACACTTGATGTCCATCATTTACGAAAAATAGGTTTATGATTATCCATATTTTCAGCCTTGTCTGTCTTAAATGATGACACGTGTACTTTTCCACTCATCACGAACTTTACTTTGACAAAGAATGAATTTAAGGGTTTRAGGACGGTTTAATAAATTTTCAGCTCCCACCATGTCACACAGACTCCATGTTGCTCGTCTTTTTGTAGCTATCTAACATTTTTTTGTAACATTTTAGATCTTGGTCCATCGGCACCTCTGAAAAGCAGACTACAGTCTTCAATTCCTCGCCAGCAGCCCAAACCACTGAAAAAAGAAGAAAAAAATGATGATCAATTGTTCAGGTTCCTAAATAGCAATGTTTCATCATCAAAAGAGAAGAAGTCAGGCAAACAAAGTCCAGTGCTGACTAGGAAAACATCAGAACCTGAAGTTTCTGTCAAAGTTGATAGTAAAAAGTCTGAAGGTACTGTAGGATTCTTTGTTTCTTTTATATTGCACTTAGATCCAAGAAGAGATCGTTTTTGCACATCAGGAAATCGTAATATATTGAAATTGAAATTGTAGATGAAAGTTAATATTTTTTCTGGAAAATTTATGGTTTTTTTTGCTTTGATTTGTGATAAAGAAAAAATTCCAGCAAAATGCTCCCACTATGTTGTTTGTGATTCGTGCAAAAGATAACGCCAGCAGCTTTTTTCACCTTCTGATCACATGCACTGGTTTATTTTCACTATTTTATTCACGTATAAAATATTACTGTGATGTGATTACTGGGATATTATCTGTTATTCTGGAAAATAACAACAACAAAAAAGAGTCCCGTGCAAAATTTGAGGGTTTTGCCCTCTTGAAGTTTAAAACGTGTATGGTTCTTCAATAAAATCGKGAAGATTATTCAGCGGGTTTTGAGCACGCACACATCATGGGCTCAAATCGAATGTTGAAAAGTAGTCAGCCACCTTAAAACAGTTTTATTTTATGATTAGCTTTCTCAAAAGGTTAAATAATTAATTTACTATGGTAGATTATGTCAGTTATCCTAAAGAGTTACTCTATTGACTTTTAGATTCGTTGGTGCCATCAAAAGACGGAATAGATCTTACTGAAACATCCAACCTTACCAGTGATATTGAGGGAGTAGAAGAACCTCCAGTGCAATCAATTGACCACAAGTCTGCTAGTCCGTTGGCACCAGCCGTACAGCAAACTGCAGATAATAACAGAGCATCAAACATGGAACTGGAAAACAAATTATTACGAAAAGAGATAAAATCACTTAATGAAGAAATGGTATCTCAAGTTCAGAGAGTAAAAGAATCAGAAAAAAGTAAGATATATGAATGCAATAAGTTTATTTACGAAAGAAAGAAAGGTTAGCAACTGAACACCTTCGAATAACAGGTTGATATAAATTATGTTGGTTTTCCAGGGGAAATTACTAGGGTTTTCCATCTACAACATAAGATTAGTTAGCACTCATGACCCAAAATTTGTGTCCCTAAATGCTTGATTCAAAACGGTTTTACCGTCTTATCCAAGGTAATAATTAATAATATTAGTTCTGCGCAAAAATCAACATTTTTGTTGACCGAGCACTAAATAATTAAAATTTACGAATTATCATAATAATTATACAGCTTCTCGTTAATGCCATATAGGTAACTGTCCAATTATTTTCTTAATTGGACAGGTCTTGTTGATAAGGGATTAATCAGGCAGCTATATAATTAATAGGCAATAGGATTTCATGCTCCCCAATCAAGAAATAATTAGACTCGAAAAATCCCTCTGACTGCCAAATTGGACTCGGCCTACGGTCTCATCCAATTTTGTTAGTCCTCGGAATTTTCCTCGTCCAATTATTTCTTAATTGGACAGCATGGAGTCCTATTACATATACAAATTTCATCCCCCATCCATCCCTGTAAGATTAAAATTATACTATTTATTTTTCTATGTAGAAATTTAACCTATCAATAAAAGTAAATGAAGTAAGATCCCCACCCTCACCCCCATCCCCCATTTCCCTCTTTATAATACACTCAACAAAATTACTCAATTCTGGTTGGACAAGAGGAGTACGATTAAATCCCAAATTGTACTCTTTAGAGTCCAATTAAGTTGCTCATTTTTATAGACTGTATTATAAACAAAAAAATCGTACAATCTTCTCGTGCAATCCTGAATTTATAGATACTCGTACATGATGCTGTGAAAGTTMTCAAATTAGACACGCCTGAAGGCTCTTCCAATTGCGAAACATCACTTGTACCTATGACTTCCGAATTGTACTCAAGATCGTGCGATTTCTTATACATATTTGTACATCAGTGGCCATTTAATCTTGGGATGCATTTGACGTCATGGTCGACATTTTGGTTGACTTTGAAAAAAGATTTGGACTTTGTGTCTTTTGCCAGTTCAACCCACATGGCTCGGGCACGTCTTTTTTCCTTTTATTCTCCGATTTGAAGGAATTCACGGTACCGACTCAGTCTGTAAAGCCAAAACAGTGAAAAAGCACTAAGAAGGGTTTGTAAAAAAATATTTAAAACTTGATTAACATTCATTCAGAATGATGTCTGCGTACTGCTTGATATAGTACATAATAATCAAAAAGCACGTGGTTGTGTTTTCAAAACTTTTACTAGTAAATTGAAATTTTTAACTCAGCTGAGTCGTGAATTGCAACACTCAACGAAATAAAGCATGCCTAGAATTTGTTAAGGCGATTAAGATCTGATTACATCCGATCACAACACAGGAAACCCACAGAGCAAAGTTACTTTTCTAAGAGAAGCAAAAAAATATAGCCCTGTGACTATAACTGACACTCACAAACGCCATTCTTTTGGATAAGGCCCTTAATACCCCTGAGTACTGCTGCGTAATCTTTCCATTTTGACTTAGAAATAAGTCGGAAATGAGAAATACAAAGGTATTTTACGACTGGTCTGTAACAGGTAACCCAGTTAAGAAAACTCGAGTGAAAAATGTGAACTGATTATTATTTGGTAACACGGGTACACTGATTTCAGTTTTTTTCTCGTGACAGGATTACAATGTGTGGAACAACAGCTAGCCAAATCAGAAGAGCAATTGATGGCTACGGAATCCATTGTACGTCAGTTACGCGTTGCAGAAGAAGATTTCAATCAGGCTTTAGCAGCTAAGGATTCTCAATTAGCAGTACTTAGAGTAAGGATTCWGCAAGTTGACCAGGAACTACAAGAAAAGAAAAGTCAAATCGAAAATTTTAAAGTCGAAAGAGAACAGTAAGTATAAATTCCTATTTTCCACACAAAGAGAATCGTCCACTGGGAATCTGTATTTAACTCTTTATATGAACTAAGAAATTATTGCAATTGAATCGTTTTTACAACATTTTACACTTTTATCATCATTGTCTTCATTACTAGCAACAAAAAAGTGATATTTAAAGCTTCTTATTTTTTTAATTCCACTTCAAGAAAAGAGACTAAAATTGCATTGCTTCCCAATAAGGTTTGACGGCTAGCTCGTACCGTTCTTGCGAGTTCCCAGTCACTCGGTCCAAGAACAATGGTGATCTAAAGTTGTGCAGCGACTTTAAATTCACCATTAATAAACCAGTTTCGCATCAGATGCATACCGCTGTTTTTGAACACCACAGACCCATTTTCACAGGTATAGCCTTGTATAAATCAGCTATTCGTCCAATTGGAATTTCTAAGTTGATTTTTTCGGAGTAAGGTAAACCGAAAAATTTCAGTGGAGAAAAACCCCTCGAAGGACAGGAGAGAAACAACTAGCAAATCAACTCGCATACGACACTGAAAGGCGAGCGCATTGTTCAGTTGTTGCTGCTATTTGTCGTTGTTTTGGCTAGGAACAGTGACATACTTTTTTTTTCACGAAAAAAGGTTACTGCAAGACCATACCGATTCATCTGGAGTCCACAACCACGCTTTGGAAGTTGTTCAGGCTAAACTAGAAGAATGTGAAAGAACATTAAAAATGGAAAAGGAAACAAGACATAATGTTCAGGTATACGCTGCCCATGACTCTCAGTTTTCAAGATCTGAATATGTCATTCAATGAACAACAAGGGGACTAGCCTATGACGTCATAAGAGAAACATGTTCTTCTTGATATATTAAAGGAATGTATGCGTTGTAAAAACACTTCCTTCGTATCTTGAGGTTTTTAGAGCTTTTGATTCTGTTTTGGAGGTGTTTATCCAAGTTTCCAAAAAACATTAATATCGCGCGCAACATGGAAATTCCCAGTTGGGCTATTTTTAGAAACCGGATGCAGTTTAAATTTCACCTTACGTGCGTCAACTAGCGCGCGCGCTCTTTCCTTTTGTTATTTGATCGTTTTTAGATTGGGCTAAACATAGTTCAATCATCTCAGTTTTACAACGATTACTTATTTTGTTACTTGTATTTCCGTAACGAAAATCTTATGAAAATCTAACGAATCTTTTCAGCAAGAAGCATTAGAAAGACAAAGCAGACTTGAAGAAGAACAACATGCAATGGCCGAGTCAATGAGAAGTCTTCAGAAGAAAGTCAGTGACGAAAGATGTATCTTTTGCTCATATATTAGATATTTAAATAATAGGGAGAACGGATTATTTGCAAAGTTTACTTCTAGGAGGGTTATTATCAGGCAAAAGCCCTAACCCCTTCAATTAAATTTCCTTTATGATTGCGTCATTAATTTTCTCCTTCAGAGTACTGCGATACCCATAGTTCTTTTTACTAGGGGTGTTATTAATGTTTCGCTACCATGATCAACCTTTTCTTTGACAAATACCAAAGCTAAAGCTAATGATCAAGCGGCGGCGTTAAAAATTGCTAAAGCCAATCTCGAAGCTGCCAGACAAGAGATGAAAGATTACAAAGAAAAAGCAGGCAGAATACTTCAGGTGAAACATGCTTATTCATTGTTACGGTTAAGTATTATCTCCATCTCCCAGGCAATTGATTAATATTGCCTTTTTATTTTATTTCCTTTGAAAGAGGGACGACGCGTATTTCGTCTGAACTCAAAGTAAATGTGCCATTTATTTTAGCGAAAGTAATTCCATGTTGTGGAGAATGATTTGCCGGGTAGAAGTCTTGCAAGGACGTTTAGGACTACTCGTTGTTGTCTTTTTAATAAATAGCAGACTAAGTATTTGAACAGTAATGATAAAAAGGTAGATTATACACCGTGAAAAGATGAAAAAACTTACTGACGTTTCGGACGCTAGTCCTTCGTCGGAGTAAAAGCAAACGATTGACTAGCGTCCGAAACGTCAGTAAGTTTTTTCATCTTTTCACGGTGTATAATTTACCTTTTTATCATTACTGTTTCATTAGAAACGACGACGCAGCTCACACTAGTTTTTAGCTAATTATCTCTTCAGACTAAGTATTTAATGAGAGAATCCAAGGTCCCATAGCGTACAACCTTTGCTGCTAGAAAATAAAGAGGTACCTCTTATCGAAAGCCTTAGATAGATCGAGATTACACCCACTATTTGCTATTTGCCAGATAGGTTAGGATGTTATTATAGATCTCTTGCAGCTGAGATGTCGTAGCCGAAGTGGCCCTAGCTTTACTGAGGAAGCCATGCTGTAGGTGGTAGATGAGCTTATCAAGCGTACAGGAAATTTAAAAATTCGAAAAAAGAAAAAATCACTATATTTTCTAAAACAATTCATGCAGCCCTTTTTCTGACTATATTTTTAGAAATTATTAGTTTTAATTTTATTTTTCTTATTTTAATAGGCAAAAGATAAAGTTATTAGCACTCTTCGAGAGGGTCGTGAGGGTGATGATTTGGGTGGAGGAGGAATCACCAGTGTTGAATATGACGAAGTTTGTCAGGAAAGAGACGCCTTTAGAGAAGAACTCAGTCAATCTCGATTCAGGATAGAAGAGCTAAAGGCTGAACTTCAGGTAATTTCAAGCAACAAGCAAAACGACTCCAGAAATAGAAAGAGAATGTCACTATAAATTACAAAGAAATATAAGAAACGTCTTGCCACACGACCATACATTTCTTTGTAAATCATACCGCTTTCAAAAATATTTTACTCCCAAAATATTGAACAGATTACCCTCACATTTTCAGTAGTTGCTGAATAAAACATTCTCTTTCGAGTTCTGGAGTCGGTTTGCTTGACTGGTAGATTGACCTGCTCTAAGATAACTGCCCTGACTTTGATCAGCCCAGAGATTGTTTCAGAGTATCGATAAAATTTAAAGGTTTTGAATTTATTGATTAGGACATGGAGCATCATCATCAGACGGACGCTGATATTGTACAAGAAAAGCTTGATGTGATGCAAGGACTTCTTGATGATGAGAAACGCAAAAGAGAAGCTTGTGAAGAAGAGATTCGAACTCAAACGCAGGTATGTCACAATATTTTGCTTTATAACTGATTGGTGACTTTGGCCAGTTGTATGCACATGCGCATCGTCCTGAAACCGTTGCGCTCGCAGCATTTTATATCGATGAATGGTGATATTTAAGTTTTTTTWAAAAAAACTTATTTTCAGGACAAACATCAGGTGAAGTAATTATTCGACTAGGCATCCAATAGTGAGAGTTTTTTTCAATATAGATGCCATATCGTTATGTAACGCTTTGTAGTAGTGCAGCTCTCGTATGACTGTGAAAAGCTCAGTGCCGTAAGCGTGACGTGCCGTGACCGTKACACTTTCTAGAATTTTAATTGGCTGATTTTTTTCACGCGCAATATGATTGGTCTAAAAGTGCCGTGATCTTGGCGTGACCGTGTCCGCGCCGTGTTTATGCCGTGTTCCGGGTATTTGATTGGATGGAGAGTAAATTCTCGTGCAATGTGATTGGTCTGGCGTATCCCTTGCCGTGTCACTACTGTGTGAACTTTTCACAGTCATACGAAAACTGCACTAATTGACAGTTAAGCACGTCACGAGTTGGCTTTTGGAGGGACGGAACCTAACGTCATGTGATTAACTTAGAGTACATCATTGTGTTTGACTGCTTGAACCTCAGCTGAAAATCAATAGTCCCATTTCGGGTTTTCTTTTGCTTAACCTCGATTGTGTACAAATGTGTTCTTTTCTTATATAGTATATGTATAGTAAGAAATATACTTATTTCAATAAAGTTAGTCACCAAAAACCTAGAAAGCTTTGATCGCTGAGAATCATGGGAAATATTTCATATTCAACAAGTAAAGCTTTTGACACAAACTGCAGCAGTTGAGGATGCTTAGAGGAGGTTAACTTGTAACTAGTAGAAGATCTCAAGTCCATCACAGTTATCAAGCGGTTGAAACATGTAAAATGTATCTACCTATAATCCCTGTCGGTCTCAGCTTTGTAGCTTTTCAAGTGACTACCTTTATTGAAATAAGTGTATACGTACTAAGAAACAATACGAGTTGATTAAAATGCCACGGGTTTTGGTTGAATTGTTGAATATTTTAACGCACAAACGAGACTACGGCTGAGCAAAAGAGAACTCGAAATTGGAGTATTTCTTCCGGCGTTTACCCGCAAGATCGCATAGCTTATCTACATTTTAACCAGATAACTGTCACGGCGTCTATATACTTTTGCATAAAGGTGTGTCCTTAATTTGCATAAATGAATATCTTCGTGAATTGCATATCGGGACAAATATCTTATTTGTGACCAAGCGAGAGTTCACGACTGATTTTGTAAATTTCCAAAGCGAATACTACCTGTTGTGCCCAGGTTATGAATGTGTACATGTTCATAGTAAAAAGGTAAAGAGAAACTTACGTGAATTTCTCGTTATACTCCACCAAGAAGCCTACGTCCTTCTTCTGCTTTTCTTCTTGAACACAAAAAGTACCAACTGAAATCTTATGGTTACCGTTCTTTCTCCGTATCTGCACCTGAACTCTGGAATGCTCTTCAATCTTCAATTAGGAACTCTGAAAGCTTGTCATCATTCAAGTCTTCTTTGAAAACTTATTTGTTTAAATTAGCTTTTAATGTGTGACCTTTATTATTTTTCTGATTATCGTAATCATCATTYTTATATTATTTTGTATTTCATCTTTCACAGCGCCTAGAGCAGGCCTGGATAAGCGCTTTATAAATTGTAATTATTATTATTATTATATTGATTTCAAATTTGGCAAAAACATAAAAGCGAAGCTTGTCAAGTCGCTGCTCTGTTTTTCATACAAATACTTGTAATTTTAACAAAAAATGTATTTTTTAGGTGTTCATGCTACTGCACTGAAAATTTGTTCCATTGCTTCATTACTATGACTGGTTCTCCAGAAATAAAGAGTAAACACTTATTCCCTGTCAGTTGCCTTTTTGATATTGTTATAAAGGCTATTGGAAATTTTTGCTCTCTCATTTGAATTATATCTGCTGTAGGACGTGAGATTAGCTCATGAAGAAGGACAGAGAAACAAGACAAGTTTGATGAATCAAATACAGGTAGTACATTTATCTACTTTCTCTAACCGCAAATCAACCGGAAACATACAGTTTGACTTCATGTGTTGGGTTTCAGCTTTTTTTTCGTTTACAATTCGCTCGATAATGATTAAATATGAAGGGTAAAAACAGTTTATTCCAAGCAAATAATTTTGAAACCTGAAATCTTATTCAGTGTGCGCAAACATAAATTGTAAGGCGTAACGTAACAGAAGGTTTTTCGGATAAATACATAAATAGGGCTGGGTAGGGGACCGTTGCTCAGAAGTAATGAGGGCTTAATATTACAAATGAATGTGTTACCTCAAGTGGGTGGGACACTAAGCGTTATCCCGATAACCTAGTATGTATTATGCTTTTGTTTTTGTTGTGTTCTATTTCAGGATAGGGAAAAGGAAATACAAAGATTGAAAAATCAGGTGTGTATGCGATTTGCTTGGGCGTGCCTGCCGTTAATAAAGACTGCGAGTTAAGTTATTATTTATCGCTCTTGTTTTGCATCTTTGAAATCTTAGTCAAAATATATTCCATTCCATAGTAAAGCCTTTTCTTCCTGTCTCACATATAAGTAGCTGAAACCTTGCCTCTTATGCTGATATCCGGTCAGGTGGTCTGTCCATTTCCGGCGTTTATTTTGTCATGATTCACGTGACCTTACCTGTCACCGACATTACATGTTGTCTTCTTATTTAGTTGCTTAACATAAGCTCTATTATTGAATTGCTAGCTTGCTGCTAAAACACTAACATCAACAAATGAAGTGGAATTGGAAAACAGAGTACGAGCCTTGACTGAGAATTTAATCCAAAAACAAACTGTTATAGAAGCCCTAAGCACAGAGAAAAATTCATTAGTTTTGCAATTGGAAAGATTAGAGGTATGGAAACAACCAATATTAGTAAGTATTTTTTGGATCATTAGTCTTGTTCTTATTTTAAGAATCCATCTTTCTTTCTTTTCGTTGTTGTTATACATGACAAAGATGATTAGCATATACCAACTTGAGTACTTCCTAAGAACGCGCGCGCTCATTGGTTGATTAGAGGTAAATATTGTACGATATTCACCTCTCAATCTCGGAATATTGAGTCGGCAACAAAATGGCATCTGCCGGCAATCGTTTTGCTACAATTTCCGATGAGGAAATTGAAAAAATTGAAAGTAAATGCCATTCCTATCAATACTAAAAAGGCAACGAGGTATGGCCTAAACGTTTTGCTAAACGTTTTGCGTGAATTTGTCACGCAAACTAAAAAATTCTGTTTGTTGTTTATTGTTCCACTAAAAACGTTGATTCCGCTAAAATTTAATGAAATGTTCATCATAACTGGTGGGAATTTCAAATCAATCTAACTAAAAAATGATTGTTAAAAATGATTGCCTGGTATTTTTTTAAAAAAGGGGGAGTGAGCTCTTGTAAATTAACTTGTGCTTTAGCGAGAGACAGCAATTCACAGCTCATTGGGGCGACAGCCAATTACAGCATATTGACTTGTCCTAGCGCGTGCGTCAGTCAATCACGGCTCATCAGTACACAGATACCTTTGAATGTTTTGGTTTATACTGGTGTAAACTTACATGACAAGGAATCCTGTGCTAATTCCCTTACCCCATCAGAGTTAACAGCTCTCTGGACAACGCCCTCTGCACTTCTCTTCCATAATCAATATAACTTTCTTTTTTTCCCCCCGAAGCAACAATACCGAGATGTGCAAGCATCGTCGACAAAGCATATCAATACCACAGCTATACCCCTCGATTCTACAGATGACAGCGATGAAAACACGCGTATGTATCTCGGGAATTATAGATTAACAATATCAGGAATTATAAATTAACAGTGTGTATGTATCTCGGAAATTGACATTGCTCCTTAATGTTTTTTTTCTCTAAGATTTTAGTTTTTTCTCTTAATTTTTCACTCTTCCCTACAATGTTGAGCTATTTTGCATCTACAACCAGGCAGCTTTAAAGTATTCCCAAGTGTTTTCGTAGTGGATTTTTAAGGCATTAAGTTGAGAGTCAGAATAGCGATCTCTCTATCTAACTTGCTTGTAACCGCCACCCGGTTAGCTCAGTTGGTAAGAGCATCGGTCTGTTGTGCGGGAGGTCGTTGTTCAAGCCTCTTCCGGACCAACACTCAGGGTCTTAAAATAACCGAGGAGAAGGTGCTACCTTTGTAATTACATCTGCGAATGGTTAGACCTTCACGGGGCTCGGATGTTCAAGCTAATGGCGGTCCCGTCCCTAATTAACTAGAGACGTTAACAGAGGACCACAAGTTTATCAGTTGAATTACTGTCAAGTCTTACCCTCTATAAACAAAGTTTATTTATTTATTTTTATGCTCTTTTGACTTTTGAGACATGGGTTAAAGATGGTGACAAAGGGTATAGCAATTCTCTATTTCCATTTTATATTTAGATTGGGTCAAAGCTGTGCTTCTCATTGAGAACTGTACTTTCTCTAAGATCTTTCTGGTTAGGGTTAGCGGTAACCTCGTTGTTGCAAACGTAGTTTAGATTTACATTTATTTGATTCGAGAGGCTTTTTATCGGAGTTAGTAGATCTTAAAAAGCTTAAAGCCTCGCCCTCGATAAATCCTTTTTTGACACTAAAAGGATGACAAGGAAAGATGTACACCTTTTTCAGAAAACGTTGTCGGTTGGATATCTGAATTCAGAAATCTGAGACCGATTAGAATTGTGGGGGACTGAGTGTTTTGTCGTTAAAAATTCAATATACACTTACCCAGACAGTTTGCAAGCACAGGTCATTGCTCAAAGTTAATATATCAAGATATTAACTTTTTGCGAACTACTATTTAAAACCACAAAACAATTTACAGCTTACAACCCACAATTCCTTTCGGTCTCAGATTTCAGATCTACCTACAACATTTTTTGAAATAGTTGTATACGTAGTGAGCATTTAGGGTCCTTATTCGTGACATGCTCTTGTACTATTGGTCCTTTATGAAGATTTCAACATCTTTATATAAAGATATTCATGTTGAGTTATTATCGGGTATAAAATAGCGTGCACGTGATGGAATTATTTCACTTTATTGGACCAAATACTCATTAATTATTCATGGYTTAAGAATAACTCGGGAATAACTTTTTAAACCTTTGGTCGATCATGGACTACAGATAACATTTATTTCTGAATATTTTCTTGATAGAGCAAGACTGATTTTGTATATGTTTAAATGTTTTGAGTTTAGAAAGTTCTAAATATTCAAAATGTGAAATAAGAACAGCTTTATCTTTGTATCAAAGCGAATGCCAACTATTAGCGTATCTTCTTTTCCAGTTACGCGCGTCAAGTCAATCACGTCAGTAATGCCAATGAAACTGAATGACTCAAGACAAGTAAAACGAGCTGTAAACGAAATTGACAAGTGCAGGTATGTGTTGTTTATGAAGCGGAAGACTACTTTGGTAACTTTCAAATGGTTAACAGTGAAAACCTATCAAAATCAGCACACTTTCTATGCCAATGGTTAAGGGGATTCCAAAATGATTGCGAGTGAACTTAGCGATCCCTCAACTGGTTCGATTTTTTTACACGTGCGATGTTTTTTTCAAAATAAATCCAAAGCGAGAATGGTGACCCCCATTTTTATTTCATAATGGTTCAATTTCAGGACGACTTTCAAGAGCACATGTAGTACCGTATTTCAACGAAAAAGCTACAGGAATTTGTAAAATATTACTTAAACATGATTAAACATAGCTTGCTTACAACATGTAATTTTGCAAGGAATGTTGTTTTATTTTTATTCGACAGTTCCGGTTACGGCCATATCTTTCATCGAGGCCGTATTTTGTTATATTTTGAGGTCATGTATCACCAAACGAGAATGGCGACCCCCATTTCAGTTTTATTTCATATTTGAATGTCCATAGTGAAATGAACGGCTACACAAAGGGAAATGCCATTTCTCCTTTATTTCAAGGGAATCAATCACCTTAAGTCATTGTACTCACAGGATTGCACGGTGGCTTGGCCCTCTGTTTTATTTGGGGGAGGGAGCTTTTTTGTGTTTATTTTGTTTTATTGATTGGCAAAGTTTCACAAATTTGACATCTATTTCTCATTTGCCTTCGAACGTCATTAAGCAAGTCTACTTAAATCTGTTTAGTCTGTTTCTTATATCTGTTTCTATAACAGGGGTTAACCCAAGAGGGGGGGCACCCCTTAGAATCAAAGGGAAAAAACATTATTTTGTATTGGTTATCTGCGAAGTAGGGGCACAAAGTCGAACCAGGGAGGGGTGCGCACCCCCTGCACCCCTCCCCTGGATCCGCCACTGTATAACTTATCACTACTAGTGTCTCCTTACTTGGGTTCCGACAACCTTTTTTGAAATAGGTGTATACTCCTGTCTGACATCTCAACCATTGTTTTCATGAATGCCTTGAATTGTGAAAAGGATTATTATTTTAGAAATGACACGTGATCCGCTGGTGTGGGAAAACATTACGCCGTTCGGTCGGTGTGAGTTTGTGGATGTTTTCTTCTAACGTCTTGTTTATTTGATTTATTTGATAGCATCAGACTTGGGTTGTTCCTCAAACGATATCCAGTTGCTCGTCTTTTCGTGATCTTGTATATGGTAAGTATTGTATTGCTGAATGTTCAGTACCTGGATTATGAATGTTGCTGAATTATGCAATGCAAGGGTTATTGGGATGGAGCTCGGTGTCTTATATTTCTTAAAGCCCTTCACTTTCTACAGATCTTAAAACTTCGAGCCCGTCTAATGGTGGATCGGAGTGTTGGAAACCCGCTAAATAGAACTATTCGTATCTTAGAATCGGGAAGAAAGTATTCTCTTGTTCTGATCAACGGATCGAAATAGACCCCTTTCAGCACTTGAATGCAGCTCAGTCTGGTGGACTAAGGCCCCGTCCGAACGTATCCGCAAATTTTTGTATCCGCAATTTTTTTTTTACGGATACGGGTTGCGTCTACGCGTGTTCGCAAATTTTTGTGTCCGTATCCGCAAATTTTACGAAAACGGATACGTGTGGACGGTGAAAACGATTCGAATACGCTGTGTGTGGACGCAAACATTTTCGTATCCGCAAAATGATTTGCGGATATAAAAATTGCCGGATACGTGTGGACGGGGCCAAAACAATAGGTTCTAATTCTCAGGATATTGGAATTTTTTTGTTTTGTCCTCCAGATCGAGCTAAAATTTATTTTATCGAGTGTACTAAAAGTTCAAATATAACTGCGTTGCACGAAGTAGTGTGACGCGGATTTAGCCAAAAGTGTGACCACTTGTAGATTTGAAAAAGTACTTTCAACCCGGAACTTTTAATTTCAAACAATATTTTACATACTATTCGCTTAATATAAGGCTTAAAATATCAATTTTTCTATCAGTGTTTTCTCCGTCTGAAAACCAAGCGTACCAAAAACAAAGGTGGTCACACTTTTGGCAAAAAGGACTTCTCTCAGTTGGGATAATTGTTTAACCGTGAGCTCGTTTGGCCATGAAGAAACGCATTCGGCACTCGATTTTTCCTCGATATTATTTCTTCTAAGGGGAACTAGTGAGAAAGTTTTCTTATCCACATTTTACCCTATTTGGGGCAGAATTTGGTTTAAAAAAGTTGTTTCTTTATATAAGATACATAGATTTATGTACATATACTTTATAAAGAACACAACTCTAGTCGTTTATTCTGAAAGAGTTTCAGATAAAAACTATCAAAACAGTTTGAAAAAGAACAGTTTTGGTTTTCACGCTACTTCGTGCAACCCGCCAAGACAACAGTGGGAGCTCCGCTTTTAGGTAGTGCCTAAATTCATATATTATAAATTGCAACAATGGAATCGATCGATGTTCATTATATAGAAGAAGAGAAGTTGCTCTTCACCTTTGACCCTGGGGGGGTAGGTAAGGGGGTTTGACTAGGCGTGCAAAGCATGTTTTCCTTTGATTTTTCCAACTTCTCATTACGGATTAGAAGCGCAATGACGCAAGGGATTCTTCTGCCGCGAACAAAATCGAAGCTGATTGGCTAATTGGTTTTCCCCAATCACCTGCACAAAAATTCATTAATCAACATGAATATTAAAATGAATGTAACGTTTCTATTTTCTTTTTCTTTCTAGTTCTTACTTCATGTCTGGGTGTTGGTGGTACTTCTCACATACAAACCCGAGATCCACGATACAAACCCTGCCAGTATGCCTCAAAGACCAACTTAGAAATCTTTTTAATCACGGTATAACAAGGCATGGATTATCAGCGCAAAGCATAATGCAAATCATCAGCTTTACACTGTCGAAATCTAACTCTGCTGACCTTTTCCGATAAAAAAACTAAAAAAATTTAATGGTTTAGATTCGAACAAGACAACTGGGTTTATTTTTGGGAATCATTATCTACCAAGGACAGAACAAGAGATGGTGATTTGGACAAAGATGTATTTATATGAAAACATTTACCCAGAAAACTCGCACTCGGTTTACTCTATTGGTATATTGGTATATGGTTTACTCTAACCTCTTCTATTCAATTTCCGATCCGTCGATTTAAGACGCCATTCAGTTTTAACCATTATCTCGCGGTACCTTGTTACAGTACACGTTTTAAAAATCCTTGATTCAAACAGTAAAGAAGAGTATAGAAGTGGGAAAACACTGAAAAAGTCCAGAAGCCTCAAGTTCCTTCATAGTTCGGGAGCCAGTGCTAAAAAAAAAAAGAAAATGCTGGGTAGGTCAAAAATTGTTAACTTAATAAGCAAACAAACTCCTTCTTAGCCCCTTAGGCTCATTATAAAATAATTGTTATGAATGTTATATACTGTGATATAGACAATGGGAGCTGTAGAGGAAGAGAGAAGTCGTAGAGAAACACGAGGCGTAAAGCACGCGGGAGTTGGCAGAACACGAGAAAGTGTTGGGAGAAGCACGACGCGTAACGGTTTTTTATTTCCTTTTTAAAATATAAAATATTTGAGATATAACGTGCGCGCTGATTGGGCTGGCTACCGTGTTTATATCAGAGGACAGAGACACGCTCGCGCGAAATTATTCAAAAATATTTTATAAAAGCAATATAAAACGTCCGCTTGTCCACTCTGGGAGCTGTAGAGCACTGGAGAAGTCAGAGAAACAYACGGCTACACCTCGTGTTTCTCTACGACTTCTCTCTTCCTCTACAGCTCCCATTGTCTATATCACAGTATATAACATTCATAACAATTATTTTATAATGAGCCTAAGGGGCTAAGAAGGAGTTTGTTTGCTTATTAAGTTAACAATTTTTGACCTACCCAGCAATGTTCCTATATATCTACGGTATTCATGTAGAGTGGCAGTAGAATTGGTCAGGTGGGCCTTGGTACAAAAAAACCCTCCCTATCACCCCTATTTTTAACTCGTGGATACGCCAAGCATAGGAACGTAAAAGTAAAATCTCAATGGGTGCAAGTAGGATTCAGAGGGTATACACTAGTTTGCCCTCAGTTTGATTGGTTATACTAAATATTGGAAGTGCTTGTATAATACAACTATAAATGGTAAAAAAATATATACTAGATAAGTTACTACTATTTGGTAAATTATGGACTGTTCTACTGTTACTGTACTATAACTGGGTATAGCTAAAAAGTCATTCAAAACATAGTACTTTATCGTAGACCAAAAATGATAATAAATTTCCGCGTACAGCTAAAAAATCGAATTCTACTCACTCTCTAAACTAACTATTCACTTCATAGGTTAGCCGTTAACGGTTATTGTCAATAGTGTGCATCTAAACGTGTTACTGACTATTATGCTGATGATGCCAAGTTGTCGTTCTGTCCTAATTCATCAGTTGATGCTGAAGTTGCTGTGCGGTCTATGAATGACTGTATAGCAGATATAAGGAACTGAGCTTGTCATAATTGGCACCAGACATCAACTAGCTAAAGTAAATATAGATAGCATTTCAGTAGGAACTTTTAATGTCAACCCAGTGTCTGTGTTAGAAACATAGCTAGCTGGTTTTATTTTAAATTAACTGTCTACGCATATTAGTAAAGTTTGGTCGTCATCATCCTTTTATCACCTGCACAACATTAGGCGTATTCTTAAGTATCTATCAGCTGAAGAGACTTGAATGCTTGTGCACGCTCTTATCACGAGTCGTGTTGACTATTGCAACAGCTTGTTCTATGGCTTGCCGGATTGCCAGCTAAAAAAAACGACACGTGCTTATGTTACGTAATCAAGAGAGTTTTGGCAATTGACCGAGTTTTGGCCTCTACCGAATTGACAGAGTTTTAAGGATTGACAGAGTTTTTGTAAGGGACTGTGCAATAATTATCGGGAGGGGGGTTCTAAAATTCTCCAAATTGGGCTTAAAATTGAAGCTAAACCCTCCCTGTGCTAAACGTAAAATAACTTCTCACCCCTCCCCCTTTTGAAATGAAATAACTATCAACCCCCCCTCCCCATATATCATGATACGTCGCGACAATGCAAGTATTGTGAGGTGTAAACTTGAGGCCATTGGAATACTACAAAAGTCAGTGAACAAATAAAAACAAAGATGACTGACCATGATGATAGCTTGTTTTCTAAAAGAAGTGGGAAACTCCAAACTGGACTGAGCTGTCATCATAAATTCAACTCGGTAACACTGCACTTTATTACTACTGGTATTGAAAGAAACATTAGAGATTTGTTGGATAACATGGATAAAGCAATGGAAAAGTACTATGCTACGCTACCTATATGATTGGATCGAAACAGAATTCATCAGTTTCACGGAAGAAAAAAGAAAATAAGAAAAAAGCTGAAAAACGCAAATCCTCGGCAACAAGGAGGACAAGGAGCTTGGGGGAAAAGGAGCTTGTTCAGAACTTCTGTTTTTATCCTCGACATAGCACTAAATATCATGAACATAAAGCTAGAAGAATTATTACAAAGCCAAACAAAAAAGACATGACATAGTCAGTTGTCTTATATACAGTCAATCAATGTGACATAACTTTACCACAGTACAGTATAGAAAGTTGTGACTTGTACTGTTTTTAGAACACTTTTTTTTGTACCGTTTTTTACTACGAAGGATACTCAGTTTATACATTATTTCAACACATATGGCTTAGAGGTTGCACGTGTGACAAGTTGTGTTCTTTATACAGTAAAAAATATAACAATGAATCTTTATTTTAAATACAGTATATGCATCTTTTCAATTTTATAATGAACGAAATCCCAAATTGACTTATGACCCCCTCTTCATATTTAAGCAATAGGCTTCTAACTCCCCCCCCCCCCCTCTCAACCCTACACTCTAATTAAACTTTTGACCCCCCCTATTAATTTTAGAACCCCCCCTCCCGAAAATTATTGCACAGTCCCTAAGGACTAGCGTCCGAAACGTCAGTTGTTTTTATTCCCATCTTTTCACGGTGTATAATTTATCCTATTATCATTACTTATTTTGATAAGCATTGATTGACAAAGAAAACACATGAAGCGTGCTTATTACAAAATTTCACGACCGCGTAGCGTGAGTGCAGTTTGTTAATCACAAGTATGATTTTGGTCCAAAATTGCACGACACGAAGTTCAATTACCATTTAATCATATCCTTTTCTTAATCATACACAAGTAAAAGACACAACAAAGAGTGCAGAATAATCAATTTAATGTAGAAGAAGTAAATCAGCTTTTTCCTGATATAATTTAAATTACGATTTATCAGCAAATCATAAGATATTCACAAATAATGCTAATCATTCTCTTCTCTGATTGGCTTTTTGAATTTTGTTCGTTGATTGGTTCTTAATAATAATAAATATGTTTTTATATAGCGCATTATAGACTCTCAATGCGTGTCAAGTGTCAAGTGTCAAGTGAAAAAAAAATAGATTAAAGTTACAAATTGAACAAAAATGTTTTTAGTTTTCTCTTGAATATTTCCAAAGACTGCGATGTTTTTATATCTGGTGGTAAACGGTTCCATAGTCTGGGCGCTGCTACGGCAAAGCTACGCGCACCATATGACTTAGTACGGTATGGAGGTTGTTTTAAAATTACTCCTTGTGTGGCACTCCTTAGCTTACGAGTAGGTTGGTGTATTTTGAGAATATCACTTATATAGGATGGAGCGATACCGTTTATAGCTTTGTATGTGACCGTTAAAAGCTTGAATTCAATTCTTTTGGCAACGTTCAACCAATGAAGACGATTGAGTAAAGGTGTTATGTGTTGAAATTTCTTTGCTCTGATGGTAAGCGAGCAGCTGCATTTGATATACGTTGCAATTTGTCAAGTTGCTTCATCGGAATACCAAAAAGGAGGCTATTACAGAAATCAATTTTGGAGCACACAAAAGCATGAACTAGTTTTTCAGTTCTTTCAAGAAGATGCAATTAAGAGCTCAAAAGGATGCGATTAAGAGCTCCTAAATGCAATTTGGGAATTAATCGCACTCCTTTTGAACCAATCAGATGGCAGGATTTGGTAGTKATTACAAAAAGGATATGATTACAATCGAAATGACAATTTTGAACCATTCCGCGCGTTACGTAATTTTTAACTATTTTTTAAAAAAAGGTAAAAACAAAAGCTTTCGCCAATRACCTTCGGCCCTTACTACTATCATTTGGAGTCGAAGGAGCATTACTATGTAAAAAGAAAATTATGGCGAAAAAAAAAAAAATGGAGATGCGGGGTATCGAACCCCGGGCCTTCCGCATGCGAAGCGGACGCTCTACCACTGAGCTACRTCCCCACTCCACCAAACAATAAAAATGAATATGTTCTATATAAACAGTAACTGCTGACGTACGCTTATCAATTTCTTAATGTCAAGAGAGTCAAAAGACAAACGCGGGGCAAGAGAGCACAGCGGAATGAAATCTCTCTATTTTTAGCGCGATTTTAAGAGCGGGGATCAGTAAATGCCGACCAGAAGTGTGCAAAATGAAAAAATCGAAAATTCCCAAAATATTTCCAAAGATAGGTTAGGTTGGTGAGTTAGTAATGGAAAAAATATAGAAATGTTCACAGGATTTTTGGTTTTCGCGAAAGACGGCGTTTTCCATACGACAGCTTCACACCCGCTTTACGC